CAACCACCACCCGAGCAATTGCCCAGGCTCTGACCCACTTATTTGTTACACACGGTCTGCCTGACACCATAGTCTCAGACAATGGCCCCCAATTTACGTCCACAGAATTCAGCCGGTATGCCACCAACCTGGGCATCCGGCATATCCTAACGGCCCCTTTCCATCCCGCTAGCAATGGGTTGGCGGAGAGAGCCGTTAGGTCAGCAAAAGAGGCGTTGGCAAGATTCACTCAAGACGACTGGCACTCCAGACTCTCTCGTTTTCTCTTAAGCCAACACTCGACCCCATGTACTGTCACGAACAAGTCCCCAGCCGAATTACTGATGGGCAGATGACTAAGGACAGTGCTGGATAGACTGCATCCCCACTATTGCCCGGACACACCATTGGGTTCTAACACCAGGGTCAGGAGTTTTGTATTACAGGACCAAGTTTTTGTCAGGAACTACGCAGGCGATCCCCTGTGGGTACCTGGGAAGATCGTGGCCATCACCGGGCCAAGGTCATACCGCATCCAGTTGGGGGACGGCCGTATCTGGCGGAGGCATCTGGACCAGATAAGAAGTCGCCAGGGCGAACATGCCGACGCTGACCCAGGGACTTCAGTGACCCTCCAATCGCCGCACCCGAATCCTAGCTGGGACCTCCAGAGTGACCAGGCGCCACCAGCCGAATCGAGAGAACGGACGGTAGACCGGGACCGTCCTCCGGAGTCATCAGCCGTACCAACCGACGACACCACCGGGTTGAGTGACAATGACAATTTAACAATCCAACCCGAGGACTGTGACCACTCCCAGACTCCAGTCAGGACTCCAGACCGACCCTGCTGCCCGGCAAGGCCAGTTACTGACTCCCAGAACTCTATGCCACCTTGTGCATTGCCAGAACTGCGCCGGTCGGGGCGCTCACACAAACCACCAGCTTACTTAAAGGACTATTCGTGTTCGTATCTAGGGGGAAGGGGTGTTATGTCCTCGAGGCTGACACAAGTTCCCCCTCCGGTCCGTTCATACTGCGGGGGCGTTTGCAGCCCCCATTGGCTGGCTCCCTTCGACAGCCGGCTATAAAAGCCGGCTGCTAGGTCGAGCCAGCCGCTGTTCGCTGGAAGGTCTGTTGTTAGCTTACAGACGCGACAGCCCCTTTATTCCCCTGAATAAAGTGTGTTATGTGAGATGCTCTGGTGTGGCCTCCCCTTTATTCCGAACTTAACATTTACTAGATTATATTTGTGTTATAAATTATTCAGAATGATCTATTACAGTATATCATTATTACAATATCCTTTAATTTCTTACTCTACTTTCTACCATCCATAAAATAGATCCCAAATCTTATAATATTCCCTTTCTTCTTGCTCTCTAATTGCTAATGTTAACCTACTCATTTCTGCACATTCCATTATTTTCTTAATCACCTCCTCCTCCATCGGAATTTTCTCATTTTTCCAATTTTGAGCAAATACAATTCTAGCTGCTGTTAATACATGAATAATCAAATATGTTATTGCTTTACTATAGTTTTCAGGCAAAATCCCCAATAAAAATATATCAGGCTTTAAATCTATATGTTGTTTTATCACCTTTTCCAACCATGTGTGTATTTTAGTCCAATATCTTTTACTTCTGCACATGTCCACCACATATGGTAGTATGATCCAGGTATCTGATAATACTTCCAACATTTCACTGATTTGTTTTTAAACAACTTTGCCAATCTTGCCAGGGGAAGAGGCCACCTGTAAAACATCTTATACAGAATTTCTTTAAAGGCTGTAGACATTGTTAATTTATAATTTCTATTCCATAATTTCTGCCATTTATCCAATTCTATCCCATTCCAAAGTTTTCCCCCCAAGTAATCATTGTTTCCTTAACTTGTACTTCTTCTAATTTCACTCCTAATAAATAACCATACAGTTTTTTAATCATCTTCTCTTCAGCACCTGTTAAATTCTAATTCAGTCAGTTCTTTGTAAAACCTATTTATCTTAACATCTTTCTCACGTCTAGAATGTATTTGCATATATGAATACCAATTCATGTTCATCCCTTGTTCATCTAATTCTTGTTTTGTATTGAGTTCACCCCTTTCATTTAAAACATCATTATATCTAACAATATGTTCCGTTTTAAAAAACATTTGGATACATGAATGCCTCCATTGTTGATAACCAGACTGATATTTTCAAATAATGTTGTTTCCTTATTTTTTCCCACGTTGACAATAAAGCTTCTTGTACATAATGGCTCCAGAAATAACCATGTGCCTTGCTTTTCTTATACCATAAAAATGCATGCCAATTATAAATCATGCCCTTCCAATATTAACAGCCTGGTATTTCTTAAAACAATCTATTCTTTCCTCCACATCAATATTATGGCCTGATAATACTGTATAATTCCCAATTGGGTAGTCCAAAACCTCCTCTTGTTCTAGCATCTAGTAACAATTTTAATTTAATCCTTGTTTTTTCCCTCTGCCATATATATTTCAATATTATTTTATTTAAATCCTCAAAATATTCTTTCCCCAACTTTATTGGAATTGTCTGGAATAAGTAAAACATTCTTGGTAAAATATTCGTTTTAATTGTCAATATTCTCCCTATCAAAGATAGTTGTAGGTTTTCCATTTTTCTGTCACAATCTGTGGTTTTAGTCTATAGTAATTATCCTCCTTAAAATTTCTAGGTTCTATTATTACCAGACCTAAAATGGACACTTAACATCAAAAACATCATCAAAAAAACACAACAAAGAATGTTCTTTCTGTGCCAACTTAGAAAGCTCAAATTGCCCAAGGAGCTGTGATACAGTTCTACAGAGGAATTATTGAGTCTGTCATCTGCACCTCTATAACTGTCTGGTTTGGTTCTGCAACCCAACAGGACAGACAAAGACTTCAGAGAGTAATTAGGGCTGCAGAAAAAACAATTGCTACCAACCTGCCTTCCATTGAGGACCTGTATACTGCACGAGTCCAAAAGAGGGCTGTGAAAATATTTACAGAACCCTCACATCCCGGACATAAACTGTTTCAACTCCTACCCTCAAAATGACGCTATAGAGCACTGCACACCAGAACAACAAGACATAAGGACATTTTTTTCTCAAATGCCATCACTCTGTTAAACAAATAATTCCCTCAACACTGAACCAACTATTTACAAAGTCTGCACTACTATTACTATTAATCTTTTCATCACTCCTTATCACCCATCCCCTCCCATTTGTGACTGTATGACTGTAACTTTGTCGCTTGTATCCTTATGATTTATATTGACTGTTTCCTAATATGATTTGATTGCTTATTGAACCCTATGACTATTATGAAATGTTGTACCTTATGATCCTTGACTCTTGATGAATGTCTTTTCTTTTGTGTACAAATTCCTTGTGTGTCCAATCACACTATCTGTTCTATTGCCAGACAAAACAGACTCGAAGACCGGAGTTGAATTCAGCTCTTTATTAGCATTCCGTAACTTCAACTAAAGTCGAGCCGCGGCAGCCCTTTTTATAGTGGCTGCTCGTGGCTCGCAACCAATGGCATTTATTTAAACTTCCCGCCACTTAGGCGGCCAATCCGAAACTGTCATTATTAACCAATGGTTAAGCTATGTTAACTACCCAATAGGAATGTGGTATTAGAAGTATGTACATGAGTACACCACACTATCTATCTATATTAAGTGTTCCACATCTTGCTGTCAATTGTATCCCCAGATATTTCACTTTTTTTTGTGATCTGAATATTTAACCTATCCATCAGTTCTTTTTTTGCTTTTCAGTTATATTCTTCACTAAGATCTTAGTTTTTTCTTTATTTATTTTCAGTCCTGCAACTTCCCCATATTCTTCTAACTTTTGTATCAACTTAGGACCGGTTTCTAATGGTTCTTCTAGTATAAAAACCAGATCATCTGCAAATGCCTGCAGTTTGTACTCCTCATTTTTTATCTTCATACCCTTTATTTCCTTGTTTCTTCTAATGTTTCTGTTTAATACTTCCAAAGTCAGCAGAAATAGCAATGGCAACAGAGGACATCCTTGTCTAGTTCCTTTTTTGATATTAATATTTCCAGTCAAGTCTCCATTTATTATTACTTTTGCTGATTGTTGATAATATATTGTCTCAATCGTTTTGACAAACCTTTCCCCAAAACCCATTTTACATCTCAGTGAAATCAGTGGAGAGTGTGGGTGGTGGGAGAGGTGGTATTCAGCAGGTTCTGACCAGTTCTGGAGAACTGGTAGCGGAAATTTTGAGTAGTTTGGAGAACCGGCAAATACCACCTCTGACTAGAGATTTTACAGTATCCTTCCCCTGACATGCCCACCAAGCCACACCCACAGAACCAGTAGTAAAATTTGTTGAATCCCATCACTATCGTAGTGGTCATTAGGAATTTGAGAATTAATTGATATGCTTGTGACAGTTCCTTGTAGTATGTCAATCAGGAGTATATTCTCAAATGTTACCTTGATAACTATTATTCCAGGATAATACCTGGAATGGGGAATTTATTAATTTGGATGAAGTTGCATCCTCTTAGAAGAAATAGATATATAGTTTTGACATATGTGGCAAGATGGGTGGCAAAAAATTAATAAATAAAAAAAATATTGTTAACTCATTCTATCACTGGATGATCAAGTGACTTCTATATAGTAGTTTCTATTTCCATCTTTGGTTAAAGATGAATCTTTAATAACTATCATCCAGAACTGATGCTTAAGAAGATGATGATGGTTATTTTTTTTTCTACAGAATTATGGATTGTCTGGATTTTTCCACGGTGCTGTTCCATGAGTTTTGTGGCACACATTGACAGCAGTAGTGGCATGGACTGTATATGAACAAATGATGGCTAGGGTGGGTTTAAAATCCTAAGGGATATGGCAAGAAATAATTGCTGTATCTTTATTTTTCCACTTACTGTGATTGCTTGGTGAGACTTGTATTTGGATTAGTCCTATGAGAAAGGTCACACAGTGCCTCAGAATCTTTAGAAATATGAGTGAATGGAGTAGAATAATGTGACAGCATAGGGGAGATATTTCAGGAAACCTGTGCCATACTTGGAAATTGCACGAACTTCTGTCTGTTTTGTGGTTTAGTAAGTACCAATAGAGGAGAATATTTGTAGTTTAGGGTTGAACCCCACAGTGCTCTCTCAGATTGGTGGTTTTCTTGAAGACATTTCATTACCAACTAGGCAACATCATCAGTGCAAACCAAGGATCCTATTGTTTAGAAAGTATCAATTGTCCTACAAAGCCATTTTACCCACAAGAACTTTTCACCCCTCTGTTTTGACAATTTTATTCAATGAATTGTTGAATACTTTTTGCAGTTGAGATTTAAAACTTAGAGACATTATTCTTGCTGGTTTCTTGCTGGAATTGTGTGCTGCATTTCTTCTCTGCTTTCAGTATTGCTCTTGTTATATACTCAACCAAAAAACAACAACAATAGAGGGAAGTCTTGAAAAGGATTTCACCAATAAAATCTCATTCACTGTTTCCTTGATACAATTGTTAAAATAAGAAAGTTAATGCTAAACTAAAAGACTAAATTTGATATTTTGATTAAAAATAATACTAGCATATCATCTTGCCATTTCTGGAGCAGCTCTCAAAAGGTCCGAGCTCTGGGCCTAAACCAGTAATTAAGACCACGCATTTGGAGGCTTACTGGATTTAATGAGCCAGACTCTGGCACACAATGAGTTTCAAGAAGCAAACGGAGTAAAGTCAGCACTGGGAGCTTCTGCCTCCGAGTGCGTCTTATCCAGGAGAAGAGGAGGTCCACACTCTTCCACCTCCATAGTCTTTGCCTGGTCTTCTCAGCTGTTCTTTGGCAGGGGCAATTAGCCTCCATTCGGCCAATCCATGGGGCTGTCAAACAGCTAGTTATCAGCTTGCCCTTCACCTCCTGGAAGCTTGTAGCAGTTGCATGGTTTGCAATGCCCACCTCCTCACCAGCCACCTGGTCTTTGGCTCCCCATTGCTCTGGACGGCAGATGCCCTCCACCCAGCACCTCCTTTACCAGGGCCATACCTGGAAGACAGTAAGCAGAAGCAGTGAGCACAAACGTTGGCAAACCACTATACCCTATCTCCTGTATTCCCCCCCCCCCAGTTTGTGGGGATGGTCTTTGTGGAACTTCTTAAGCAGACAAGCCACCCTTACATCCCTGCTAACTACCCAGGAGGCCTATGTGGTGGGATAGCCTTTCCATTAGACGAGGTACTGTAGGTAGTCCCTATGTAATCGGGAATCCAATACCCAGTCAATTTCATAATGGGTTCCCCCACCCACCGGCATAGGGCCGGATGATGGTGGTGGCCTTGGTCATATGGCGGCCTCCCCTACAGGTTTTAAGATGCTGTGGAACATGGGATGCATCTTTCCCAACAATCGGGGTAATTTCAGCTCCACTATCACAGGGTTGATTACCTGCACAATGGGGAATGAGCCCAGGAACTTTGGACTCAGTTTGGGGCAGGGAATCTTCAATTTCAGGTATTTGGTTGACAGATACATCCTGTCCCCCACCTGCAATGGCTTCTGCGAGGCCTGTTTCCTGTCTCCATGTACCTTCTGGGTTTCTGTTGCTTTTCTTAGGGCCACTTCATGGCTCCCCATACCCCAGACAAGGTTTCTATCTTTGGGGCTAACCAGGAAAAGAGCATCTCGATGGTATTCAGGTGTAGGAATGAAGTCTATTCTGTTCACCACCCTGAAGGGAATAAAATCTGTATGCCATGGATAGCATTGTTATATGCCAGATCTGCAAATGGCAAGAGTTCTGTCCAATTGGTTTGCTGGTAGGTAGCATAGATCCTAAGATATTTTCCCACTATGGCATTGGTTCTCTCCATGGCCCCATTGGTACTCAGGTGAAACGCTGAGCTTAGATCCTGGGAGGACCCCATCATCTGAACGAAGTCCCACCAGAATTTGGCTGTGAACTGTACTCCCCCCATCTGAAATTATCCTCTGCAGCATGCCATGGAGGTGATAGATATGTGTGAGGAACAGTTTATCTAATTTGCGATGGTAATCTGGCGCATGGTACAAAATGGCTTGTTTGACCATATGATAGTTTGACCATTGCTTTCCAGAAGCTCCACAATGAAATCCATGGCTATCTCCTCTCAGGGCTGAGTCGGGTCAGCCACAGATTGTAAGAGACCAGGGGTTTTCCCTGAGTGGGGTTTTGTGGTTGCACAGACTGGACAACTTTTGACATAGTCCTCTATGTCGTGTTGCATCTGGGGCCACCAGAATTGCCTTTTGGCAAAATGCAAGGTTGTGAGAAATCCAAAGTGTCCTACCTGTTTGATGTCATGGCACATTGACACTATGGCTGTCAAAAGTGATATTTAATATAGCTAGAGTTGCAGTTCCAGCATAAATGGACAGTTCTGGGTTGTAGAAATAATTCTTAATTCTGCCAAACTCATAATGAAACATGGCTTCAGTGTTCCTATTTAAGATCAAGTTAGAGAGTTAAATGTTGCATGCATTATTTTTGAAGCTGCAGTATCAATACTGCCAAATGATGGACTAAACATTTCATCAGTAATTAAATGGCATGGAAAATAGAAATTATAACCCATAACAGAACAGAGATATCAAGTCAGTACTAAACACTACTCCTGGGTTACTCTTTTGATCAAGACTATCATCTTACTTTTTTCCAAATAGAATATGCTTGGCCCATTCTGTGCATTCCTCACTCCAAAGATTAGTCTTCAAAGTATGCTGCAATGTTACCTTTAACATTTTTAGAAAACTAGCTTGATGTGTGTTTTGCATAACTAATGAAGGCAGAAAATTATTGTTGGAAAATTGGTTATTTAAAGCTATTTCCATGCAGTTCTGCTGATTAATAGCTATGCTTTCCTTTATGGTAAGGAATCTCTTACCAAGGGTTTGAAGCCTTGGAATCTGCAAGAGGACTTACTTATTTGGGCTGTGAAGAAAACCCGACACATATTTTAAATGCTTGTATTGGATTATTTTATTATTATTAAAAATCTATTTTTAAAAATGCTTCTTTTTTAAAAAAGCAGATGTCCCTTTTCCTCCTGGTTAGTTTTATCACTTTTGGTTCTTTTACACTTTTGAAGTGAAAACCTAATCTTCAATTATACTAAGTTGGTTGTAAATGAGTGTAGTGTAATACTTACCACTCCTCTCTGCCACAGATCATGATGCTGTTAAATGCTGTATTTGGGTATCATGCACAAAGAAAAAGAAAAAGGATAGTTATAGTGGAGCATCAAAATAGTTATCTAAGAAGAGGGCTTTCTCAGAAGAGGATGCAGACCTATGAATAAGGTTTAAATACCTATCCAAAATAAGACAAGGCCATGAATTTAAGAGTTGGTGCTAGGATTCAAGAGGAAAGAAAACCATTAACACCACCAGCAAAGCTTTTTTATGCATTTGGAAAACATGAATCCTGGCTTTACTAGAGATCATGTAGGGAACTGCTCTTTCTGTTTTGTTTGACCATATTGCACAATGGGCCCTATAATTAATTTTTTTAATTAATTTTTTTTATTGAAAATTAAGGTTTAAAAACATTTGAACGTGGTGATCTTTTGACATATATCAGCAGTCTTTAAATTATTATATCAGAATGTCATCAAACAATATAACACACACACACACACATATAAATACACACACATCTATATACATCTTTACATTATAATTCTTCATATTCATTTCCATTTTAGATGTTTTATTATAGTATAAACTCTTGGATTTCTATTTTACATTTTTTTGACTTCCTTTCATATCCCTCCAATTATAATTTTTTTCCATACTTCATAGAATTCTGAAGTATCTCGTTCCTTTAGTTCTAATGTTAAGCTACCTGGCTCAGTGCAATATAGAATTTTTTAATTATTATTTCATCATTAGGTATTTCTTTTAATTTCCATGTTTGGGCAACCGATAGCCTTACGGCTGTGATAATATGTGTAATTAAATACAGATCTGCTTTTTTAAACTTCTCATTTGTTATTCCTAGTAGAAACATTTCTGATGTATAAATTATTTTTAAATTTAACATTCCCTCTATCCATTTCCAGATTTTTTTGCATTTCTTGCAAAAGTTATTGCATTTTTGTGCACTCACCACCATGTTCTTTTAAGCATTTCCAGCATGTCGGAGATTGGAAACCATTCATTTTTGCTAATATGGTGGGTGGGAGGTGCCATCTGTAGAACATCTTAAACAAGTTCTCTTTATAAGATGTGGCTAGAGTGATCTATTTATTCCTGTCCCAGATTTGCTGCCATTGATCCAGATTTATGTTATAAACAACATTTCTGGCTCAGATTAGCATTGGTTCTTTCACTTGCTCCTCATACATCTAATAGTCTAATAGATAGTTATATAATTTATTTGTTTATTTTCCGGTCCTAAAAATATTTTGTCTAGAATTGTATCTTGGAAGTTTATTCCCCATTTTTTTTATCTCTTTCATACCTAGATTGTACTTGGAAATATGCCCACCATTCCAAAGTTAAGCCCTGTTGAGCAAGTTCAAGTCTTTGTTTTAGTCTTCCGTCATCTGTTAAGATATCTTTGTATGTGATTGCCTTATTTTGGTTATAAAGATTAGGGTATGATATGGCTTCTAAGGAGGAAAGCCAACCTGGAATTTCTATGTAATTTTGCGATCTTATCTTATTCCAAATGAATATTAGAGCTTGTCGAATTTTATTTCTCAAAAAGTATTGATGTGTTATATGTCTATTAGGCCATAAATATGCATGCCAGTCATTTTGCAAATCATATCCTTCTAAGGATAATAGTCTTTTTTTCTCCAAGTTTATCCATCCAATCTTTAATCCATGTTAGAGCGGCAGCTTTATAATATAATTCCCAATCCAGGAAACTTAGTCCCCCTCTTTCCTCTGCATCTTGTAAGTGTTTTAGCTTAATTCTTGGTCTTTTGCCCTGCCACACAAAATTTAATGTTATTTTGTTCAGTTCCTTAAATAATTTTTTCAAATTTAATCGATATATTTTGAAATAGGAACAAAATTTTTGGTAGTATGTTCATTTTGATAGCCGAAATTCTGCCAATTAATGATAGTTGAAGACTGTTCCAATGTTC